AAAAAACGGTCACTTGGGGAGATTCATCCGTGACCAGATTCATTCTGGAATATAGCGGTTACAAAGGACTTGGATTTTCTTTGATTTTTGGAAAGAAAATCAAAGAAAATCAAGGCCTCTTGCAACCGGAATAAAACGGAATACATGCTTGAGGAGAAACACATGTTTTAGGTGCATCCGGAGCCAAAATTAAGGCCGGATGCACTTGGGAATTGGCCGTTTCTTTTCCTTTTGAGTAGGGGCAAGTTGTGGGGCATTGGGGCTAAGGAATTAACCCCCATTGCAGTCCGAGTTGCGACGGACTGCATGGGGGAGAGAAAACGCATGTTCTAAGTGCATCCGGAGCCAATATTGAGCCCGGATGCACTAAAAAATTTAAAGCTTTATTTTCTTTTAACATGCGGCAAGTTATGGGGCTGTGGGTGTGAAAAACAGCCATGACTGTAGTCCGAGAAATTACAGACTGCATGAGGATGCCAAGACCAAGGGGAAATGGGCTACGGCAAACCCGGAAAGGCTAGAAATGAGCAATTTTGGCAAGGGGCAAGTAAAGATGGTAAACGGCAACCGTGAGATGAGATCTCATGGCCTAAAAAAATTGGCACACATATAGAAATGATGGGACCACCAAGGGCAATGGGCCCCAAAGAATATAAAAACGGGATGCCGTCCGGGATGTTTCCGGGGACCAAATGGGTCCAAATAATAAAAATCGAAAAACCGGACACGCGTCGGCGGGACCGCCGGCGGGACAAAGAAAGGGAGCTAGCGTGTAGGAAAATGGCGGGGACTTGGGATGTCCCAAGGGAACCATGAGCAAACAGAAGGAATAATTGTGCAAGCAAGCGGCACCGTCGAGATCGAGGATCTACACGGTGGAAAATATTAGCACCATTAGTGCAAGCACTGATGAGAGCAAATGGGAGAGTCATGAGAGAAAGAAAAATGAAATAAGGGTGTTGGGAAGGTTGCCCAGCAGTCCGGGATATCTCGGACTAACAAGGCATAAGAAAATAGAGTCTTGAGAGGCTCAACATGAGAAAAAGGCTGCCCTTAGAAAATCGGAGCAGAAGGGGTTCAAAATTGGGCAAACGAGAGCAAAATGGAACCCCTAGGAGCATGGGGGTGCCATTATTGGAATCCGAGATGTAACGGCCATATAGCAGCCATGATCCTGGTCTTGAATGAGGCCCTAGGGCCTAGAAAGAGGGTGCACAACAGTTTGACACTTGTCACAACAGAAATAAAAGAAAAAGAAAAGAAAATAAGAGAAAAAGGAGGGAGAATGAGACAAAAAGGGAAAAAAAAGTGGAGGAGAGTGTGCCGGCCTATTGGGACC